TATATATATATATATATATGTATAAATATTTATGAGTATGTATACTATTAGTAGTAGTATTAAATTATTTTGATCTATTTCATTTTTTAAGTAATTTTTAAATGTAATACATTTTTTTCTTTTTACTAAAGCCACTTACTGCACAGTGCATATCATGTATTTGTGAAACTCTGCATGTTACTACTGTAGAGTAAGATTTTGAAATTAAAGCACACAAATGACATGTGGTGACATCACATGTTTCAGTGGAATTTGCTTTTCTAGAAGGATGTGAACCAGGATGCTAACCTGTGGGTCAACCAGCCATCCATGGTAGAGTGGGATATCCAGCAGGTCAAAGACAATGCACTCGGGTGTGTATTCGAATACCCGCACACCTGTGAACTTAACGTTTACATCCAGACCTGTCTGCAGTTTATGCAGCACAGCCATAGCATCACTCATATTCTAGAGAAAGAGAGAGCAAAGGTATACAAGAAAATAAGGGAACAGTAGCAATTTTTCCAACACAACACATGCACACATTTCTGTAAAATGTGACACCCAATTGTCTTACAGCTCTGAGCAGGAAAAATCTCATAACTCTAGACCAGCGACTAAACAGCTCTAAACACCAGAGTTCTCCTCCTTTACTCCCTGTCTTTCAGTTTTGACCATAATGACCCTCCACTGACTCTCAAAAAAGCACAGCTGCAGGCTCACAAACTCCAGTGCAGTTAAACAGATAGAGTTTGAACATCATACACGTGTGTGTTCAGCATTTGATATTACATTCCAGAACCTATGATAATAATAATCTGTCCGGCTCTCACTTTTAAGTACTCACAGTATGACCATCTGTTAGTAGCTCACAAAATGAGTGTGTGTGTGGACAGTTGTTGAGATTAGAGCTTGTAACATGAATCAACCATGTAACAACAACATCATGAATCCCTGGAAACCAGTGAGATTATCTTTGCCCTTTTGTAGGAGATTTCTCTCTCACTCTTTCTGCCTTGGCCATTTTCCATTGGTACAGGGGATTTCCTAGCACTTTCACTTAATTCAATCCCAATCACTTGTATCTAGAATTATGGATTTAATTTGGATAAAATATAAAATGGTATTTAATTTGTATAAAAAGTATCAAATGGATAGTTCTAGTTCTGGAATCTGATTGGTCAATACAGTGTTCAGTGTTATTTTAGTATTGTTTATTTATATACTATTATAGTCATTAATAGTATTTTGAATTAGCTTTTTATATCTTCAGTTTTCATTTAATTTGAAGCTTTAATAATTTTATGTGCCATTGTACTTATTTTTTTCTATTTAGCTATTTCAGTTTTAGTCATTTTATTATTTAAACTTCATTTTTTTATTTAGTTAGTTAGTTGCCAGAGCAAAATTTCAAATTTGAATTTTTAAAGTTTTTTTAAGTGCATCCAATATTTATATTTTATTTGCCAGAGCAAAATTTCAAATTTGAATTTTTCAATTTTTTTTTAAGTGCATACAATATTTATATTTTATTTAATTTCAGCTTTAAGTTAATGAAAACCATTTTAATAGTTTTAGTTAACAATAACACTGACAGAGTTCCAGCCAAATTGTTTAAAAAGCAATAAGGCAGTTAAGGCCATCCTTAATTGTGAATTAAGAACAGCCTCTTCTGTTACTTTATTCATGATATAAGACAGACACTCATGCCATATATAACTTAAATGCTCAAGTTTTTGGATGACTTTTATTGCCATCATGATTTAATCCTCTCAGATATATGGTATAAAACATTAACAGAACAAATCAAGAGAACAAATTTAGTTTTGACTTCAAATTTCAGGTAGTCACTTCCATTCTAGACAGCTGTCAATCTTTGTCATACCCAAACTGTATTTAGCACTCGAAACAAGACAACCGTATTCTGAGATTGAGTGAGCACAGCCTTCATCTCACCTTAACTCTGATCAGAATAACACAGGTCATCATCCCGCAGCTCGATACCATGTTTCCAAAACAACACCAGACACCTTCAGAAAACTGCTGAGTCACGAGTCCCTGCTCTCCTGGAACACAGGCCTGGATGAATCAGTGTGGCACAGGCTGACCCGATGGCCAGTGGGTGGATGAGAGCATGTAGAACTGGCACCAGGGTCGGGTGAGCGTTAGAGGTTTCTCAGATCAACTAAGACCCATCCACCAACAGCCCCCATTCAGTCCCGTTGAGCCTGGCACCGGTTCCATCCCCCACCCACACCCTGCCTGTGTGTGGCCTGGCTCTGTCCCTGTGCCCCTGCCAGCGTTTCTGAATCTGAACCACTCCACTGCCCTGACCCACTTTCTCCAGCTCTATTATACTCGCTCCAGTACAGTGATACTCACTGAGATGCCTATAAAAGCTTTAATACAATCAAAACATCTATTAGACTGGAAAACATCTGATAAACAGTCAAACCTGAGCAGGGGCGGATCTAGAAAATCATTTTTAGGGTGGCAAAGGGGTGGCATGGGGTCTATGAGGGGTGGCAACACCAAAGCAAGCCCCCATGCATAGTTTTTGGGAATTTATGGTCTGACATACACAGTTGTGATCACAAATATTGTATTACCAGTAAGTAATCATCTACTGTTTAAAATGAAAAATAAATAGCAACATTTCAATATCTATCATGGCACCAAGTCAATACACAATATAAAAAAACTTCAACAGGTTATAAATGTTTCTGAGCTTGTATCACTAAAGAAGACATGCGGTTCTATTAAAATTACATAGGCTACTTAGATGGTATAATCACGTTTAGTGCAAGTTTAAGAGCAACAAAAACTTTTGAATTTCCTAACATTAGAAAGAAATACAATAATATCAAAGCACTGAAACTATTTGATTTTCTGTTATTAACAGAGATGGGAATGTCTGTAATCACCCAAATTCTATCAACCATATACTATGGCAACACCCCAGCAACTGCATAGCAACCACCCAGAATATCCTAGCAACCAACTAGCTGCCTCACATCTCTTGCAAAATGAAGCACTGCATTCAAAATATCACAAACACATCTCAAAAGCAAACATTTGCATAAACCTTTGCCATTTCTGTTAGATTTTTGTGTTACATAGAGAATTGTGTGTTGTTTTGCAAAAAGTGTTTTATGAAATTGAAAACTGAGTCAAAGGCCGAGAATTAGCGTATGGTTTCAGAAATTGTGTGACAAGTAAAGATTTTGTGTGTAAGCAGTTGAAAAAAACTGTAAATGCTTACACACAATTCAAATACACAGACGACTTTCCTGCCCAGTGCACACTGAGATCAATAACACTGAAACAAAAAAACTCTTACTAGGAATAAATGAACTTTTCCACGACATTCTAATTTATTGAGATGCACCTGTATTTTTGAAGCTCAATGTCTATTACAGTATACATAAATTACAGATACAGATGTATAATTCAGCAATGAACTTTTGGGAAAAAAATCATTTTCATTTTACTACTGTAAAGTAATATTGCAGTAGATGAAAAGTACTAGAAAAGTTCAAATACCAAATAATTGTATGAACTTGGCATGCACCACAATACAGTACAGTAAAAATAAAATTAAAAAAGTAAATTTAGCATCCTCTGCACATTTGGCCAAATTTCATTACTGTATACACTACTATAGCAGTTTCTTGGTCTCCTGACACAAGACAGCTCTGCAGTCATTTCTCAGTTCTGCAAAAATGCAGTAGGCTACGCAAAAAATGGTTACAAATAAAATTTGACAGTCACAAGTTTGAAGGTGTACAACATGTGCTACAGTTTACTGTACATATAGAATAGTGACATTTCCATTATCTAATGTACTGGTACTGTACTGTAATTATACTGTATGTGTAAGTATAAAACCCCTGTAGATCATGATTGACTCAGCTCTCTCCTCTCCGTTGTTAGGATGCAGAGATTCTGATTGGTGTGTCATCAGTTTTTAGGCTACTCATTGTTAAACTTTTTGAGAAATGTGTCTTTGTTTTGAAAACTGAGTTAAAGTTTTTTGGGGAAAAAGTGCCAACTAAAATCAGTTATATTAACAATCGAGAAAACTGCAATACGACTAGATTTTTACCCAACTCTGCTATTAGTTTCCGTGATCGGCATATTCTTATTGATTTCATGTTATTGTTACGGAATATCCATGATGAAAGTGGAGCGAGCGGTCGGAGAATCGGATCACCAAACAATTATGCGATGAATCTCAGACATATCCGTACGGGATTCGATTTCTCAGAGGACTTCTGAGTTACCTGAAAAGCAGTAATTATCTGATTCACGAACAAATGTAAAAACAATTTTGTAAAAACTGAGTTCTTTGTGGTTTTGACTCAAAAAGAACCGGTTCATAAGAGTCATTTGTTAATGAAGCCGACTACACTGGCACGCTGCGTGCTCGTGCAACCATCGCACAGTTTATTAAAATGCGTGTTTTTGCCATTATTTTGCGTTATGCTGTCATCGCCGCGGCTGAAAAGTAGCACATGAAACACTGTTTACATTTATATTTTATTCTGTGATAATTCTGTGGTGGCAGGTGGGGTGGCACAGCTTTTTCTTAGGGTGGCAGTTGCCACCCCGTGCCACCCCGGTAGATCCACCCCTGAACCTGAGTGATGTTATTGTGCACTGTTTGCACAGGCTAAACACTAAGATCAACACACAGAGAGCAGACAGACCCCATGAAGTTCTTCTGGACCTTTGTGTGTGTGTGTGTGTGTGTGTGTGTGTGTGTGCACGCACGCCTCTCTCTCACTCTCTCCTAGTGCCAAAAAATCGCTTCACTAACAGTCACAGAGCCTGGCCGAAGACAGTCAGGTGACCTACAGTGTAGAGAAACAGCATTATTCAAGCATGAATGAAGCTCAGCCAAACCTGAAACAGTCTTGGCAATAAAAAAAACTCTCAAAGATAAGTTACATTATAAAAACCAAAACACAAGAACAAAGCAAAATCTCATACAGAAGAGAAGGTATAGAGCAAGAAAGGAGCATGAATCCAGTCAGCCTCCACCTACTACAATAATCAATAACACACATTGGGGAACATCAGAAGCACTGCTATCTTAATCCTCATATTCTCAATCTCACATACAAAAATAGACTTGACTTTGAACTGCTTGGAAGGGAGATATTTCAAAATGAATAGATTATAATGGCAATTAAAAGACTCTCACATTAGCAATTTTATACTACCTAAACTATAATAAACTATTAGCAATATATTTTACTGGAGGAATATAACAAACCATAAATAGAAAGTAAAAAAAAAAACAGAATTTTTTGAAATAGAAAACATCTGTTACATTATAAATGTCTTTACTGTCATTTATACATCATTGCTAAATAAAAGTATTATATAAAAAAAAAAATCTTACTGACCATTTAAGCGGTCGTGTATGATTTTTCCCCTAGATTGAAGTCATTACAGCATCTTACAGCAGTGATTTCAAATATATTTCTTTTTTGCATTACAGTAATAAAATGAGACTTTCACATTTTGTTAATGATAATTAGGGAAAATATGTGACAATGCAAAACTGTCTTAATGCAGAAATGGTTATTGGTAAAATATAACACGGTTTCTGAAGGTTTTATGAATTAAAGACTTTTTAAAGACCTTTTTAAGACCAAGTAAAGACAATTTAAGTAACACATTGTGTTGTAATAGTAACACTTCAGATTGAAAATATGCCTTCCAATCGATCTCCTTTAGTTTTTAATTTATTTCATAAAAACAGCTTTAGGAATAGAATTGCTCTGATCCAAACCACTAGAATATGGAAATACTTTTTACTGTACTTTCTGATCACACTGCAAAAAAAAGTGACGTTCTTCCTCTGCATTTTCCTTCTTCCTCTTGTTTTCCAGCGCAAATGTCTAAAGATCCTTAAATCAAGACACATTTACTTGAGAAGAAAAAATAATAAGTCTTGTTTTATGAGAAATTGATCAAAATGAATAGTGATTAAGAGAACAAATATCCGCCAATAAGCTTATGAAACCTCAACATAATGGAAAAACTCAACTAAGGGAGAACAACTTTTCATTCCTAATTAGCATTAGGGCTGAAACGACTAGTCGACATTATCGACAACGTCAACAATAAAAATAGGTCAACAAATATTTTTGTTGTCGAATAGTCGCTTTGGAGCACTTTGGAGTGTAAAAATAGCTGAACCAGATGCTGCTGAGACTGGCATTTAGATTAATATGTAAATATGTACTGTGTTTTTTTTCTTCTTAATAACGAAGTAAACGCACAACAAAAATAAAAGAGGCGAGAAAACAGCAGTTAAAAAGCTTCTGATCATAGCAATGTGGATTTGTTCGAACCAGCTCTGCAATTCGGCTCTCCAGTCACGTCACGTTTATTTATATAGCGCAGATTGATTAAAAGCAACCAGCTTTACAGTATTTAATGAAAAAAAAAAAAAAACGGTGTCAGTGTTTTTAGTTAAAAATTACAACTTGATTTTCTGCTATAAAGCAGCTCTCCAGTGTAGCTAAGGATAAAATATTTTTATTAGTGAATGCAAATATAAAAATAAAAAGCCCAAATCATATTACTACATTAAAGTGAGTTTGGTTTGCATAGATTAAAGCTTGATCTAGCAGGACTGTTTACGTCATCCGCTGGAATGCCACTCTCTCGTGTACGTACGTACAACAGTTAGTGGATGCCAGAGATCACTAGGGCTGTGTATCACCAGCAAAGTCACGATATGATACGTATTTGCATCTTGTTTTTAAGCCCATAAATAATAATGTACTCGTTCTAATAAATTTATATTGTACTCATACTAATATATTTAAAAAATCATCTTTACATTGCTGGTAGGTTATCATTGCACAAATTAACACAATTTCTACATTGAAAACAATAAAAATAAAAATTTGAATAGTTCTAAACTAATGCGCTGTCTTCACTGTATCTCACGCACAGACGATTTTAGTCACTCACACAGATCACGTTGGGCGCGCACACAAACTTTTTAGCGCTGCCCCGCAATTTTATCAATAAAATAGCTTAATCACTCAAGAGCTACATTATCTTTCTCAACAAGGAGCTGGTAACATCATCGTTTCTAAAAAAATTAGAGCCTCAGCTTCACTGTTAACAGAGAAACGCGGCAAAACGGTGGTAATTCACACATACACAGCCTCTCTCTCTCTCTCTCTCTCTCTCTGTCATATACACCTAGGATGGCTTGAGGGTGAGTAAATCATGGGGTAATTTTCATTTTTGGGTGAACTATCCCTTTGAGGATGTTTAGATATTTGTATTGGAAAACAAGACAAAAATAATGAGGAAGATATGCAACAATGCAACATTTCATGCCATGACTTTATGAATTTAAGACTTTCTGCTCTAATTTAAGACCTTTTTAAGCCTCAATTTGTGGAAGGGCGAATTAAGACCTTTTTAAGACCCGCAGAAACCCTGATATGTTTTTTTTTAACCTGTTGATTTGGGGGTGAAATATGTACCCAGTTTTGTTGTGGATAGGTTTTGTGGGGTACACTGTACCGGTATATATTCTACACAGGCTAATAAGGAGAAGGCTAAAACATCACTTCATTGGTCCCCGTCTTGCATCCCTACACACCATGTGAGAAGAAATGAGGCATCTCTTTGACCTTACATGTCAAATTCTGTAGAGCGCACAACTCTATGAGAGGCTCCTACTCTCTTTCAGTGCAACACAATGATATTCACTCCTGCCGTTATATAAACAGTTGGATCCAGACTGGAATGGACCAGTTCTCACAATTCCTTTAATTCAATGGCAATTCAATGCTTTCTTGTCCTTATTTCCTGTTGGGATGGATGGGTGCTGATCTGGATGACTACCACAGCTTGTTTCCTAAAGGCACTGTAATGCCACAGAGAATAACTGGCTGTTTAATGACAGAGAACCAAGCCATGCTCACTACAAGAACAAAAGGATGTTTTAAGAAGAGATGTGAGAATGTGAGAAAGATATCTGTCTGTCTTGAGTGTCTACATGTGTCACGGCTAATGTTTTCTCCTCTGTCAGAGCCTTAGGCCTCACCTTTCTCTTCTCATTCTCAGTGTTAATACTACACCATCCCACAAACACACAGAGAGCTATGTAAACAAACTGGCTATCTTCAATAGACTTGTGTTCTGTGAGTCACGAGCAAAACTGCTGTTGCTTTTACCTGTTCATAGTTCAGCCGCTGAGCCTCAGAGATCTCTTTTGGCTTTGCTTCAAGGATATAGTCTCCTGTTGTGAAGGAGCGAAAAGAAAGAAAAAAAGGAGGGTTAGGGAAAACATTTGAGAGACAGTGCACTTATGAAAAACATATGCTCACAGGAGACATCAGTCTCCTCTTCACCCCGTTGTAATTAACAAACTGTCTACATATGCCAGTAAACCAAAAGCAGTAGATATTTACAACACCGATCTTTCTGTATTTGCAGCTTTAGCGGGAATGTCAGTCAATGCAGTGACTGAAGCCTACCTGTTTTAGTATTACATTTATTTAGTTTTAGAGCTACAGTCTTCATCTTTCTTTCCAAATACATGACACAATGTGCAATTAAATATTCAAACAGAGGTCAATTAAAGACTGATTAACATTTATACATGCCAGACGAAGCCGAGCTACAATCGCATTATGCAGAATTGTCAGTCTGACTTCACAAAAAAATAAAATAAATAAATACTATAATTTCAATAATACTAGAGCTGTTACATAACATTTTAATTAGATCTGCTGTCCATTGTCAATTGTGTAGCTATGTATGTATGTTTCAGACAGAGTGATGCACGTCACGTGTTCTTTTATTTTAGTAGTATTAAATAGTAATTTTTTAAATTTAGTTATAATAATAAAAAGTTATCATTATTTTGTAGCCATATTGATATATTGTCACAAAATTTCAGCCAAATTGTGCAGACCTACGAACATGCACAACAAACATGAATTGCTTTTTTAAATCATATTTCTTCCTTGCATTAGTACATAACATACCTGGGGTGTATTCCAGAAAGCGGGTTTTGTTGGAAACTCAGAGTTTGTTAACCCCAGAAAAGGGAAACTCAGGGTTTTCGGTTCCAGTAAAAGACAAAACTAAACCTCTCGGTAAGTTACCATAGTAACTTACTCTGTTAACCTAACCTGGTCTGGAGCAGGTTCTTCGGTAAACCAAGAGTGTCTTTCAGTCTCCTCCCCCTTTTTAAAGTGTGAGCAATGTTTAAATCACTTTCATTTTCATCATGCAGACACGGTAAATGTGACAAAAATGGCATGTTTTTTTATAAGGGATCCTGTAGATGAGGAGGCTGCATTAATTCGCGGGGAGTTACATTTACATCAGGAGAGGATTTAATTTGATTTAATTTATTTATTTTGCCATATGTGCACCTTCTGAAAATGAATCAGATTACTGTATGGAATGGAAGGATGCCAGATGGAGGGGTAGTACGAGATATATGCCGTAACCACCAGCACAGCTGTTAAATAAACACAAATGATTTACAATAAACAAATATGTCAAATGTTTGTAAAGTCATGTAGCCTACACCCATGAAACTTTTATGCTTAAAGCTTTACCTTGATTGAATTGTGTTTTATAATTCATTTTTAGATGCTGCTACGTTCTTTTTCTTTTCTTTTTTTTTTTGCCATGGGATACCATGAAAATGAAATTTAGTTAAATAATTTACTGAAACCGAAAACTCAGTTTCCTATCTCAGGGTATGTCAACTCAGAGTTCAAGCTTTAACTCTGTTTGAACCTCCTTTCTGGAATACACCCCTGTACACACAAATACCATCTATTGTCTATTATGTATATTGTGTATTTTGTTTTTGTTTAATATTTTTTGTATATTGTTATTTCCTATTTACTTATCCTATTTTTTATTATTTTTATTATCTGTGTCTTGTCTTGTCACTGCCATTCTGTTTGCGCTGTGAAAGCTTCTGTCACCAAAACAAATTCCTTGTATGTGCAAACATACATGGCAATAAAGCACTTTCTGATTCTGATTTTAAATCACAATTTTATCAGAAAAATCGAGAAGGGTCTGGCTGCAGCTGGCGCTTGCACTCTCAGACATGCATTCTCAGACTTGCACTCTCAGACACTTGCACTTCCGCTAGCGACGTCACTTGCAGTCTTTATTATTTTTTATTTTGTTCTATTTGTTGATTACTTTTTGTTTGAATCTCTCAACATTTTACAACAGTAGCCAGGTGGTGAAGACAAGAAAAATTAC